CACAACCAAACAGCAAAAGGAAACGGCAACCGGAGAGGTAGTGACTAAGCTGCAAAAACCGAGGGCCGATTCCTCATGGGCACATTTCCCTTAAAGCCGAAAACCTTAAAGCTTTACCTGAGAGTTTAAGTACACATCCTTTCCGTAAAAGTCTGTCTCAGTTCTGAGTGTCCAAGCACTTGCCCTTTATAATACCGCGCCTTCCCGTACTGCTACCAATTGCTTTTGCTCGCAAATTTGGTCAAACCGTGATTTTGAAACACTTCCTTCTCCAACATAAATAGGTCAGCAGGATTCAAATCTAACTGAAGGACAAAGTACTACTTTCTAAATTGGGGGTATTCCGGCAAAACCTGTACCTTACTTGATTCCCTACAACCTTTCTTTTCCAGTTTGAATATAAACTGAAAAATTGTTACAGAGGAAACATGACGTTTTTAGCCTGAAGTCAGAAAAGTTATTAGGAGCAAAATCACTACCCACGGGGTATGCCCGGAATTCCGGGGGAAATCAGCTTTTGTTGTTCTATGGCCCAGACCAGATGCTCTGAGGTGGCCAGGAACCTTAGTCTACACCCACTTAGCAGATTTCTGGCTTTCTATCAGGGACTAAGAGGTTTATTTGCAGAAATGGATCATTTCCTTCTAAATATCCTTTACCCTATTTACAGGCTTGCATATTCCTTCTATTTTGTTTTCCCCCTACAGCTTTACTAAGGGAATTAATTATCTAGAAGAACAGGAACATACAGTAAGTACATCTGAGATACAGGATGAGACACAGTATGTCATCTATTAGGCCTGGCTAAGACCAGCAGCTGATGCTAAATGGGAAGGAACATGCACCAAATGTTTTTTAATCACAAAGTTAGTAATTAATTGCTCTTTAAAATACATTTTATGCTTCTTTCTGTCTGTGTACATGAAATGCACATTTATTACATGCCAAAAATTACAGCATTATGGCTTAAATGTGATTGGCACGGAAGTCCGGAAATCAGCGTTAATGTTCCCACAGCAACTTTAATTCCGACCGTGTGCACAGGCGGGCTGTAACGGCCTCCGCTCCAGGATCATACATATAGATGGTCTGGGCGGGAGGCTAACGACCCATATCCTCAACTGTAGTTACAGGAAGAAAACAAAGGCCATCAGCTGTGCGCCTTTCCACGTGTGTGGATAAAAACAATGTTCCTGTGCCCCGCGTTGTGTAATCAGAGATGAAAGAATCTGCTGTGAGGCCGGCACTTAGGGGGACAGTTTGTGTTGCTGTGGGAACCCGGACTTTGCATTTCCTGACTTTGGGGTAATTAAAATGTCAGCCTTAATGTGGCATTAATGGAGCTTGCCATAAAAATCCTCTGTTTTGTTCTCTTAAAAAAAAAAATTGCTTAAAAGTTCAAACTGAACCAAGTGTACTAAAAATTTTAATCTCGGGGACTTGGATGGTGAAGCAAAGAGTTGGGGGTGGAGAGGCCGATGGGGGCGGGTGGCAGGAGAGAGAGGAAGGAGCCCAACAGTCTCCTGGCCCGCGTTTGGCCCCAGCAAAGTCATGCTACCTGCAGAGCTAAAGTTAGCCCCACCCACACAACAGTTTGGTAATGTGCAAAGGTTCAATTAAAAATAAACAAAAACTGTGAATGCGTAAGTGCATTTTGGCAAGGACACACAAAAGTAAGACAGTCTGATGAGACCAGTGCAAAACCTGGGAAGGTAAGCAACCACGGGTGCCAGCTCCCAAAAAAAGACAGCAAGATCGGTGAGCCTGAGGTCAAAAGCAGGGAACACTGTCCCAGGGAGGAGGCACCCCTCCGTTCCTTCAAGAGGGCACTTATTTTGGGGCGAGTGATATGGGAGAAATATGCAAGTGATGGTTCGGGCGGCCTCTATCACGTGTACATGACTGTGCTAGGCTACAGCTTGTTATCTGACAAGAAAGCTCTTCCGCTTAGAGAGCCTCGCCTGCTCTCCTGATGTGGTTTAGTCCTGTTTCACCATTGAAGGGAGAGCCTATTCAGTTTTGTACCCATTTCAAACCTCATCTCAGTGCCTTCCATTGTCATCATCTGAGTTTGTTTGCCATTAGATTTTTATGAACGGTAAAGAGGTGACAAACTAGGAGGTATGGGGAGTGTTAATAAAGGAAATTGTTAGTGCAAGTAATAGTAACCTTTGGAGTAATATTGACCTCATCATCTCACAGCAGAAGGCACTACTCAACCATACTCCTTCATAGTTTGAACACTGCTGGGATCTTTGGCCAAATCTGAAGTGGCCCAGCAGGTTATGTAATCAGTTGAGAATGTCAGGGGTCAGACTTCCCTCTTCCCGCTACAATTTGGCCTGGGCCCTTTAGAGCCATCGATGCTGTGGCCTACCCTTACCGGTCCATGTTCAGAGCTGACTTTTCTGTGGGGACGTTAATATATTGTGCTTTTTATCCCACTCACCAAAATGAGTAGTTGCACATTTTCAAGAACCCTGTTTACAGTCTGGAATGCCATCTCTGGCCTGGAACAAAGAGTCCAGGCTGCCCACAGGGAGAGCAAAAGCCACAGACAGCCCTCAGTATCTGAATGAGTTAATTATGAGCAAGTCATTCATCTGTCAGTTTTCTCATCTGTACACTGGGAAGAATTATACTGACTGACAGGAAATGGGCATTAAAGTGTGACTAAGAATCGTTTTGCTAAACACATGCCAAATGAATAAGTGCTGTAAAAATTCAGGCACCTGTGCAAGCTAGGCATACCGCATGCTGGCGGATGTTTCTGAAGTTAAAGAGATAATAAGTCTAGGGCACTGCCTATAAATGCCCCAAATCTGTTAGTTCTAAATAGGAACTGAATATTTCACCTTAAAGAAATTAGGCTTTTAAATTAATCTAAGGAAAGAGTGATATTTGAAAGTAAAAAGAAAAAATTCTCTTGAAAGCAAGGAGAACGTCCAAAACTTTAACAGCTTAAAATAAATCTCTTTCCTATCTTCTCTCCAAATGGCCAGATTTCTGCGAATTCTTCCTAAAAAACAACTGTCTTCGCAGTGTAAGCTCAACTCAGGACAAACTACAATCTGAATATATTTGGAGAAAAGTAGAATCGATTAAACAACAGGTTGGAACAGAGGAGACTTTCACATCTTAATGGCAAAATCAAACCGACTTCAAACAGCAGAAGATTAGGTTTCTCCTCCCAGTTCAGACACCCTACTGACTGGCCTCCTCGTTGCTGGGAGCTGTACGGCGTACCATGCTTGTAAAGCTCCTTGCACATCTCCCATGCTAACGCCACGCCTGCTGAGGGGATGCTCATAGGAAAGCACAATAAATAGAGCTCAGTGCTTCCTCTAGTCAGAAAAAACACTTTGCTGCAACAGGGGATTTCTGAGCGAAGGCCATCCTATGTAATCTTCCCACAAGGTCTGGCAGCAAGCCAGGCGGGGAAGGTCTGCACGCAGGAGCTCCAGACCCTTGGCCACAGGAACAGGCTACCTTCCTGGTAGGCAGGGGCAGTGCGCACATGTCTACAGGCACTGTGCCACGCTGTTTTCCAATCCTTCCTGTAATTACTATTGGGCTGGAGACTGCCAGGCAAGAAGGGCCAAGGATGTTCCTATTACAATGGCCAGCAGAACACAGTCCCCTATTCTGACCCCCAGGTTTCTCCAGAGAGGCGGCCACTTTGTACAAATTACTCTGGCTGTGGGGTCTGGATCTCCTTATTCTCATTTCATTTTCTCGGGGCAGCTGGAATGTGGTCTCAGAACCATCTTCCTTCACCCCAACTCCACCCCTGGGTCTTGTTCCTCTATCTAGAGACTATTATGATGAAGTGAGGAAGGAATGCAATTTCTTGAAGGAATGAATTAATCTCTGGCCCTCATTGCAGAAATTTGCATTTGTTTTGCCAGAATAAGAACACTAGGAAACTTGGAATCTCATTTCCTAATTAATAATTTTTTTTTCTTTGTGGACAGAATAAATGAAGCTTTTTTTTTTTTTTTAAATAAGACTATTTTTTTTTTAAATAAGACTATTTTAAAGAAAAATATGCCAGCTGTTTGCCTGTTATCAGATTTCCCTAATGGAGATGAGTTCAGAATAGCTGTTAGGTACCTCAAGACTAAAAGGAATATTCTTTGGGTTTGGACCCCAAAGTTTTCCCATTCCTTTCCTTTGTTAACATACATATATCTTTCTCTTTCAAGTATTGGGTTTCTCATTGCAGAAAGAGAAAAAAGTCTCCTAAATGTGATTTATCAACTTTCTTAAAATAGAATTTAAAGAAGTGACTCCCAGATTAGTGAGAAGACAGCAAAAATAAACAGCAATGAAGTGATTTCAATAGCGACGATCTCATTAAGCTGCCCATTTCCAAATTTAGCCCCTAGGCAGTTTTTTTAATTAAAAAATATTTTTAACCTGAGTTCCTATTGGCTACGTGAGGCCTGGGTGGCTTTTGAATTCTTGGAAGCCATTCTCTTTTCCTCTGTAAATTTATGCTATCCTTTAACCACTTCAAAATAAATTAAAAACTGGAAAGACAGAAATTCAGCCAAGCTACATGAGACTCCAATAACTAATGCAAAGCTGATTTGTGTTAAGTAATTTCAAAATGGATGTTTCCTTGCATCTGACTGGCCGTATGAGATCCACATTTGGCTGCTGAATTAAGTCAAGGTGGAAAGTGCCCTTTTTCCGATCCCGGGGACAAAAGAATTAGCTGCACAACTTCACAACTCCCTTTTTTGAGTTAATGCTATGGAAGATGATGTGGTTTCTGTGTAATTAATCCTCCTTTTGAGGCCAAATGGCTGGTCACCTGGTTTTAACATCCAGTTTTGAAAACAGAGATGTTGGCTGAAACAAAATGGTGGCAAGTGATTTTTTGGCTGCTTTAGACCGAATGGAAACAGCCTGCTCTGAAGGCCACCGAGCCAGAGCCAGGGGAGAAGCCTGCTCCGTGCTACGAGAAGAGAGCGCCACTGTACTGGTGTACTCACAATCAGATGACCCGGTGTGAGCGTGAGAGTTTGTCAGTGAACGTGTTGAGTGGATGAGGGCTGGGTCTGGAGACAAAACAGCTTCAAAGTTCAGGCAGGGAAGGCCCGGCTTGGCGCTGGATCCACCCGGCTGAGTAATCTCATTCTCCTCAGATGCCTTCTGGTTTTCAGCTGTCTTGGGTTTCTTCCTGAAAATAAACAAAGGGCCCTTTGAAGGAACTGAATGCATATTTGGGAAAAGGCATTTTTAGAATCTGTTAAAGATAACTTGATTTTTTTTTTTTCTGAGGGGGGATGGGAGGGAGTCCAGTATGTCCCTTGTTTTAAAACAAGCTGATTCTTGTTTTTTCTTTTTCTTTTTCTTTTCACTCCAGTAATGGCCTAACTGGGAACACATGAAAGCATATGGGCCAAGCAAACAGCACCACATTTGGGCTCCGTTGGCTGTATAAAAAGACCCTGTCCCGGAACTTTAGACAGCTTGAGCTACGTATGGCTGACATTATCCAAGAAGGCATCCTTTTCCCCCTTCAGAGTTTTAACATGGTCTGGAAAAATACTAGTGGAGGTTTACCGTTCTAGCATTTGTCAGGAAGCTTAGAGACAGGACCCGTGGAGTAATGGGAGGAGCACTGGACTGGGAGTCAGGAGACTTGAGCTAAGGTACTAGCTGTGCCTCTAACTTGCTGTGTGGCCTTGGGCACCTCACTTCACCTCTCTGGGCTTCAGTTTCCTCATCTGTAAAATAAAGGGCTTGGATTAGAAGGCCTTAAAGGTTCCTTCCAGCTTTAATTTCTCTTCATTGAACACATTATGAACATTCAACTTTCTTGCAGTTTTATTTCAGATCAATACATAATTTCAAATCACAATCTAAATCTGCAGGCTGTATAGGTGACAGCTTAGCGATGGAGGTTTTTGTTAAGATAGCAAATGGACAGTGAAAAGAAGAGCTTAGATTCCATAGGTAGAGGGAAGATGTCACTGGAAATCCCCTATTCCAAACTCATTGCTCACCCAAAGCTTGAGATGCCCTTTGCTTTTTTATTTAGTGCATGATTGCTTTTAAAGAAAATTATTTATTGATTTTTAGAAAGTGAGAGCAAGTAAGAGAAACACTGATTTGTAGTTCCTCTGGTTTATGTATTCTTGTCTGTGTCCTGACTGAGGATCCAACCTGCTACCTTGGTGTTATTGGGACGACACTCTGAGCAACCTGGCCAGGGCTTCACAACTCTTGAGTATAGAAATGAGACTGGGTGTTTGGAATGTGATGAAGAGATTGGTAAAGGGAATTAGAAAGCAAATACTGCTAATAATTAATTGGGGTCAGGAATAGGAAGCAAAAGAGGTACGCTATTGATCAGGTCCAGTCTTCACTCCCTTGGACAATGCAACTGATATAAACAAATAAATGCTTAACTTGGACTGCATATATCCTAGGCCTCAGTGAAATTGAATTATTAATCATACATTGAAAATTCTCCCCAATTTCCTTAGCTCTGTGTCCTCTTCTGGAACTATATGCATGTTGATCAGAAAAAATGCTTTGTTTTACTTTGTGGTAGAAGATCATGTGGTACAGACTCTGTTGTAAGTCTAGTTTCCATGTTTTCCTTATTTCTGTAAGCATAGCAATGGACTTGTTACTCAGAATATCTTCTCTTGGGATTTGCTGTGCGGGGCAGTTAAATCTGCCCTCACAAAATATGGTGTTCTGATTAGCATGCTCTGTTTCTGGTCCAATTGGCTGTGAAATAAACCTGCTTTTCCAGAGGACAAGAAGCAGAGGTGGGATGGCACAAATGAAAACAGAGGGAAACTTTCAGACATTTTTCAGGATGGAGGAAGCCAATGTAAGAGAAGGAACAAACCGTAGTGCTTTACCTACTGTTTGTTGAGTGGGTGACTGTGGAACTAACTCCCAGATTCTGAGTGTCTACGTGGACCTGCAAAGACCTGGTTTCTAGGTTTTAGTTTAATGAGGTCCCCGACTCGTTTCTTTCCCTAAGAAACTAGCGCTTCCTACAAGGTCCTTATTCCATTACTGTTTGTCCCTGGGTTGGAAACTGCAGGGTCACACATCTTCCTCTGCCTTAAAGTCAATTCATCAAGTCCTGACAATTCCACTTCCTTTATATTTTATCATCCATGTTTCCATTCCATTTCCATTGCAATCACCAGAACACGTTTTATTTGAACTGTTGCTCACTTCTCGGCTCTCTATTCTCTTTGACTCCTAGTCCCACTTTTTGCCATTCACTAAATCTGAGGTGACTACATCAGTCTGACCCTATTTTACCTTAGCTTGTGTGCCCTACATGTTGGCCATCCTGAACTCTCAAATTTCATGAATATTTCCAGAACATCCCAGGGAATTTTCATCCTTGGTTAAGTTATTTCTCTTGCTTTGAATGCCCCTATTTCAACTACACTGAAATTCTATTTACCCTTTATATTTATTAAATGTTGTTTCCATATTATAATTGTTTTGATTTCTCTCTGCCAGATAAGACCTCTCTCTCTCTCTCTTTCTCCCTCTCCCTCCCCCACTGTCTTTCTCAAATTCTCCTCCTTCCCATCTTTCTTTGAAACCTCAAACACTTTTTCCTTATTTTATTTTACTCATTCAATTTTGTTTCAATTATGTACTTATTAGAAGCCTAGTGCACGAATTTGTGCACTGGTAGGGTCCCTTGGTCTGGCCTGTGGGAATCAGGCCAAAACCAGCTCTCTGACATCCCCTGAGGGACCCCAGATTGTGAGAGGGCAGTTCTTGGGTGATGCACTCTGGAATTGGGCTCCCTCCTCTCTGGTTCTGGGTGCATCACCTGAGAACCACTGCTGCCACTAAGCTCCTGAACTGAATATCTGCCTCCTGGTGGTCAGTGTGCATCATAGCTACTAGTTGGATGGTTGGACGGTCACTTAGGCTTATATATATATATTAGAGGCCCGTTGCACAAAGATTTATGTAATAGGCCTTCCTTCCCCTGGCTGTCGGCACTGGTTTTCCTCTGGCACCCAGGACCCAAGCCTTTGCTCCTGCTGTGGCTGATAAGCCAAGCCTTGAGGCTTCTCCACTCTAGCCACAGTGGAGAAGCCAAGCCTCCTCAGTCTTCAGTGTTCAGTTTTCACTCTGCACCTGTGTATGCAAATCAACCCACCATCTTTGTTGGGTTAATTTGCATACCCACTCCTGATTTGCTTGTGAGTGTTGTGGAGGTATGGTCAATTTGTATATTTCTTTTATTAGTGCAGATTAGTGTAGATATATATTATCCCTCCTCTAGGACATTGAACAACCTGAGGGTAAGGAAATGTCCTTGTTATTATTGAATTCGCTGTGTTCATGCACTTTCCCCGCTTTGTTCCCTCACACCATTCATTTATTCACTTATTTATTTTCCAAATACTTATTATGTGGCTATGGTGTGCCAGCATGGGTTAGGGAATAGAACAAGCCTGTTTTCTACCTTCCCAATGTTTGCTCTGTAGTGTGTACTATTAGCCAAATAGCTTAGACAGGTATAATTCAATATATGCTTGTTGAAAGGACGAAATGGTGAAGAAATTAAAGTATATTTTGAGAGTAGTCATAGTCTGAATCCCAATTAAGTTTGCTACTCCTTATACAGCAGCGAAATCTACCTTGAATGGATCGTTTTACTTTGAATCCATGAAGGGCACTTGGTAAGAGTAGGGACATTTTGCTCACTAAAGTTAGGCTGCTCTTCATGATTTATTTAAATACAGGGATGAAAAACTAATGACAAGCACAACAGAAAAAAATATTTATCTTGGCTGCTCTTAGCCATGCCTTCAGATGTGAGCTTTCAGAAATTAAGAAAGCTCTTTCAAAAATGAGCACATAGCCAACATTATTCTTTTATTTTTATGACTGTATAAGTTGTATTTTCCTCCTAAATAATAATAGTGGAATATTCAAATTATCCATTACACCGTAACACAGGAGGTGTCATGACCAATCACAGAAGGCTGCCTGTGTGTGTGCAGCGGCGGGATGTTGCTCAGGAGACAGGGCGGAAGTGGGGAGGTGCCTGGAGGAGGCAGGACCATCCCATGGCAGGGAGGGCAGGAGTGAGAGCCATAGAGCCCCTCTCACCAGTCCTTTGAAACCCACCGCTCACAGTCAGAGTACCCCACTGCCCCCTGACAGGGAAAGGAGTGCAGCACAGCAAGTGGGAGGCTTCCACACTCTTTTCTGGTGCCATGACAGGCTGTACCTGCCACGTTGCTCCCGAGATGGGGCAGAAGCGGAAAGGCACCCGGAGAAGGCAGGACAGCCTGAGGTGACTTGAGGGATTGAGGGTGGGGCTTGAAGCAGCCAGAGAAAGCCAGAGGGGTTGGGGCTGGGTCAGGCATGCTGGAGCTCTGTATGGAGAGGTTCAGGGTCAAGGCAGGGTGGTGGGTGGGTGGGCGGGGCCTCGTGATTTTGCGCGCTGGGCTCCTAGTATATAATAAAAGCCTAGGTGGTGTCACGACATTGCCACAAGATGGCCACCCTCACGTTGTCACAAGATGGCTGCCACAAGATGGCCACCGTAAGATGGCTACCATAAGATGGCCAGCAGGGGAAGGCAGTTGTGGGTGACTTGGACTGGTAGGAGAGGGCAGTTGTGGGCGACCCAGCTGGCAGGGGAAGACAGTTGGGGGTGAACAGGCCAGCAGGGAAGGGCAGTAGGGGGTGACCAGGCCAGCAGGGGAGGGTAGTTAGGGGTGACCAGGCCTGCAGGGGACAGCAGTTAGGGGCAAACAGGCTGGCAGGGGAGCAGTTATGGGATGATCAGGCTGGCAGGCAGAAACTATTAGGGACAATCAGGCAGGTAGGCAGGCGAGCAGTTAGGAGCCAGCAGTCCCAGATTGTGAGAGGGGTGTCTGGCTGCCTATGGGATCGGGCCTAAATCAGCAGTTGGACATCCCAAAAGGGATTCCAGATTGGGGAGGGTGCAAGCCGGGCTGAGGGACCCTCCCCCCCAGCACAAATTTCATGCACCCAGCCTGTGGTTCTTTATAGAAATGTCCTTCCTTCCTTCCCTAGATTCCATCCAGCTTTCTACCTGATATCTTGCACCACACCCTCCTGCTTATTACTGTAAGGATTACCTTTGGGGTATATTCAAAACATAGAGGCATTGGGGTCACCTCTATGAATAGAAGTATTGAAAACTGAACTTTAACTGGTTCGTATCCCCAATATCACTTTACTGGGCTGTTTCCCAGCTTCAAGAGAGCAGAGAACCACTCAGTGTTCTCAGAAGCAATTCATTCCCATCCCACCTTCCCTGAAAGTCCTTCTGGACTCTTTTTTCCACAGCTGAGAAACACTGAGATATAGCCTCAGTCTATGTCTACAAATGCACAGGTGGGTTATTCGGACCCTATTTTTTCGATTAATAGTTTATTAAGAAGGGAATAGCAAGTCCTATAGTAATTCATTTAAGATACCTTCTTTGGTTGTGTAAAAAATAATTATACAAACAGCACATCTGAAGACCAGTCTCTTTCAGCCCCAGTGGCTCTGCATTCCTGCCCGGCGCCGGTAGAGGGCAGCAGCACACTGG